TATTATTATTGTTATTATTAGTATTAGTATTAGTATTAGTAGTAGTATTATTATTGATATTATTATTATCATTTTCATTATCAATATTATCATTACCAATTATCCTTATCATTATCAGTATCATCATTATCATTTTTATTATTATCATTAATTAAAACAGGGCTTTGAACAAAGAACAAAGAACAAAGAACAAAGAACAAAGAACAAAGAACACAGAACACAGAACACAGAACACAGAACACAGAACACAGAACACAGAACGGAGAAGATCCCCCCCCCACCCACCCACCCTCTTCCCAGTCTTACGTGTATCCGGCGTCCAGAAGCAGCTGATAGTTCTCCGGCAGCTCGGAGCAGACTGCCGTGTCGTTGTCAGATGTGTTGGAGATGTGCTGTGCTAGGCCCGAGTTCAAATCCCCCAGAAGGACGTGGGGAGGCCAGTCGCTGGCCAGTTCTAGCAGGCTCTGTATCTCTGCCGTCTGCTGGACTCCGTAGCTGGGGTATTGGAGGTTGTCTGAGAGAGGGAGGGGGGTGAAGAGTTTAGTTTAGTAAGATTTTTACGGTGCTCGCAACTGTATAAGTTTTAGTTTTAGTTAGAGTTTTGCGGCACTCGCAACACAATAAGGTCCTCTAAGTGCCGAAGATTAGAGGTGTTACAAGAGAGTAACAAACACAAAAAAGAAGGAGGGGAGATAGAGAAGATATATTTTCTTAATAGGAAAGAAGGAGCAAACCACACCAGAGCACCAGCCAACCACCCACACTGCATACGTGGGGGAAGGGGGAGAGAGAGAAAATGGGGAAGATAGAAGGAGGTAAGAGGACGGAGAGGGGTGAAAAGGGAAATGGGAAGAGGAAAGAAGGTGGAGGGGGAGCGGAGGAAGGAGGGACGAAAGGAGGAAGGGGAGGGGGGATGGGGGAGGGGTTAGGGGGGCAGGAAGCAGGAGGTGGAGAAGATGGGGTGTGGTTTGGGGGGTAGATGGGGAGAGGTGGTTGGGGTGAGATGGTGCATAAGAAAATGTTAATGTCCTCCTTTGGCAATGGCCTAAAGTCCCTTTAGTCAGTAGCACTGCGCAGGGGAAAAAAACACTTACATTAATCTTATCCGTACGTCGTGTTTTACTATCGTATCCATACGATGTGGAGAACTCTGTGCCACCACTTTCTAAAGAGGAAATTTACTCGTTAATCCGATCTGTACACTTTGCATAGCAGTCTGTCAAAATGATTTTTTTTTTTTGAAATACTGAAAGTTTCAAATAGTGGGGCGGTTTAGCCCAAAAATTTAAAAGGATTGTGCATTTTGTGATACAAGCACCAAATTTGGCACAGATGTACATTAATATATTGCAAACATTTTTAGATATTGGGCCACTCGGATTTCTCTCTTAATGGCCGCCATATTGGATTTCAAAATGGCCGCCATTTGAAATCTACATTTGCGATTATCTCTGGGTCCAATGCTGCTATTGACTTCATTTTGGTGTCTAAATGTATGTTTTGGGGGGCAAGGAATCCAATGGTTACAATCTGCATAGCGTATTTGTACTTATGGGCTGTCATATTGGATTTCAAAATGGCCGCCATTTAAAATCTACATTTGCGAGTATCTCTGGGTCAAATGCTGCTATTGACTTCATTTTGGTGTCTAAACGTATGTTTAGGGGGGCAAGGAATCCTATGATACCAATCCACAATCCAATGCACAATCTAAAGCACAATTCTAATGCCCAAATCTAAATCAAAGATACAAATCTAAAATTCTAAAGCACAAATATATTCCAGTGCACAATTCAATGCACAATCCAACGGCACCAATTTCAACGTAATGTTATCTTTCACACTCTGTTATATAAAATGATCTAGGAAAATAATAGATTGAACACGATACTTTCAAAAGAATGATTATATGAAAGCATGGTGATTGATTGATTGAGTATGTGTTTTACGGCACTATCGACACAATTTTGAAAGCATGTTAAATGGGTGAAAAAGTCTTTAGTCTGTAAATGTCGTAGGTACAATTCTAGCATGCTACATGGTCTAATTTCTGAGGCTAGTTGTATATTGACATGCTTCTTGATTGATTGGGTAGATGTTTTACGGCACTATCGACACAATTTTGGTCATTTAAGCGCCATCAGGTTTCACAGTTACAAAA